TTATTTGTTTAAAGTTTGTAAAGTGGGTACAGGTAACAGTTTCAAGGATATAACAAGTAATTTTTAAACGAAACCGACTTCAATTCTCGTATAAAAAAAAATTCAAGATCGCCGTTAATTTCTTTATGATCCAATGATCGGATCTAGCATGGAAATTAGCATGGGACCACCTGTTGGATACCACCTTTCCTTTAAAAAATTATAAAAAAGGATTATAGAAATCGGTTAACGTGGTCCCAAGTAACGTACACAAAGCAAAAAAGTCCGACGAATTGATAACCCTCTCCTTTTTTTGAAGTCGGTTAAGAAATTACAGAGATTAGCCAGGGACCGAGAACGAAAGGTATAATCGAAACTCAATGTCGTTCTCGTAGTTTTGTTTCCAAGAGCATTAATTTCGGGGAAATTTCTAAGAGAACAAAATGAGAACAAAAATCACCGGGACGTTTTGGTAAAGAGCAAAACGGAAACAAATTGTCTAAAGGCCCGTTTACATCCAACTTTGGCGTTGGCGTTGGCGTCGCCTCGACAGCTGACTATGAATACATGCATTTATAGGAAAGTCTCCACATAAGCAAAGTTGGGCAACGCCAATAAGTAATTTTTTAAGCAGATAAAGTTAGAAGAATGGCATTCGAAGATGTTATCGAGTTTTTATAAGTCCTTAACATACAATTTTCAAAAAAATAAATATTGCAAGATTTCAAGGATAAACTTTTAAAATGATATTTTCAATACTTACCCGTTCTTATGTACCAAACAATTGAATCTTTTTAAATTCTACAGAATTTTGTCTTTAATTTGGTACCTATACTTTTACTCTAAGCACTTTTCACTGAATTTTTAAAATCATTTTCGCATTCGACAGAGTGAAAAAATATAAACGCAATTTTACTTTATTTGGCCCCCGGTTTCGCGAATATATTGATTTTTTTGCATGTAAAATTTACTATTGCGCGGTGTTATATGCACTGAGCCACAAACACAATGATTTTTTCAACCAAGTTATGATTAGATTTTATCGTGGTCAATAGCCGATTGTAAGAAATTTAATTCAAGTTGAACATTTGAGAACAAATTCATATGTATGGCATTTAACTTAACGAGCAGAGGTGCTTGCTATTATTTGTTGGCTTTCAGCAGTACGAATGCTGTAAGCGCGATACATAATTTTTTTTTCTGTTTTTGATTTTTCTTAATTACGAAAAAGCCTCTGTGAAGTGCAGAACCAAATCAAACGACGACACATTTATAAAGCAGCTGTAAATTAGTGTGTATAGATGCTTGCTGTTATTTGCTAATCCCACCAGAAGCAACATGTTGAAATGACAATAAAAATTTTGGTTTGGTATCTCCGAATTATGAAAAAGCATCTATGAAGTGCAGAACATGAACGCATTCAAACGAAAAATCGCCAACCAAAAGTTTGGTTAATGTAAACAAAATTGTGGTTAATATTAAAAAATCATTGTTGAAAATATCAACCAAGCCATTGTTAATAATAACCAAAAATCACGTTGATTTCTTTTCTAGTTTGAATTTGGTAATATTAACCAATTTTTGGTTGATTTTTCTCTCAGTATGTACAATGAGCTAGACATTTATAAAAAAATACTAATTATTAAATAAAAAAAGAAACATAGCCAATACTGGTCAAGTAAAGGAGTTCCTATTATTGCTATCAGTGCAAATTACAAATCCTGGGATTATTTGCCAAGAATCCCGGGTTTTTCGGAACCTATAAAATTCCTGGATACTTAGTACGAATGTGTATGCCCAAAAGGGCCTTTAACTTTATTTGCAACATCTAAAATGTTCTAAATTTCATAAAAGTGTATATACATAAATATTTTTTTTTTTTTGTTATTTTATGGCCTTATAACAATTATATTCAACAATTTTTATTGAGCTCGAGGCCGTTTTGAATGAAAAACTTATTGTGGAAAGCAACAATAATTGAAAGAATGGTAGAGTGATAGCTATTTCGGAAATTACCACATTTCCTCATCAGACTTCTTTCAGTACGCTTCGAACCGACGATCCCACTGACTCGGCCAGTTGCCTATGCACTGTGCTAAGTTCGCCTTGTAAATTATCGTTGTATTTTTCCACTTATTTTCATGATGAAAACGTAACCTTCGATATTAATTTAATTTTCGGCACAGTATAAATATATTGTTATTATTTCAGACATTTTTATTATTAGTTCTAAACGTAACAACGTAATGCAAAGTATCCGAAAGTATGTGTTTACTGCAAAATATGCTCTAAGAAATATAACTCTAACTTTATAATAATAATAATAATAATAATAGATTGGCGCTCACACATATGTTAGTGTTTGGCCGAGCTTCTCCTCCGATTTGCGGCGTGCGCCTTGATGTTGTCACACAAATGGGCGATTGTATTTTCATGAGAAGCTGTTTTTCATGGCAGAAATACATTCGTAGGTTTGCCATTGCCTGCCGAGGGACGACCGCTGTTAAGAAAAAACCTTTATTCTATATTTTTTTGCGATGCTGCTTTGACCAGGGCTTGAACCAGGCCCTGCGAAGTGGAAGCGCACACTGCTTACCACTACACAGCGGCTTTATACTTTTTGGAAAAACGTTTAAACACTTCATCAGCGTGTTGCTAACATGCCTGACAAAAAACATGCCCAAACATGTTTTGAGTTGCCCTAATAGTTACATATGCAAATAAGGTCAACGAAAGACTTAAGACACGAACTTTTCGTGCACAGAAAATAAGAAACGATCCGGACATCTAAATTATCCAGCTTTCTTTTCGCTTAGAAATAACAATGATAGTTCTCGCCGAAACGGTTTTCATCGCAAATCAAAACATTTGTTCCCGATTTTTTCTCTACCAGAACGTATCCAGACTTTTGTTCTTATTTGATTATTCTTGAAAACGTTCTCGATACTTTCGTTCTTATTTTTTCCCTTTCTGTTCTTCTTGAGAGCGTTCCCAAGAATGTCACGTGCATTTTGATCTTTAGGGAAATGGTCATCATTTTGTTCCCGTTAAAACTACTCTCAATACATTTGTTCTCATTGGCACTTTTGTGGTAACCTTTTTGACATCACATTTGTTCTCGTGCAGCACTAAACCAAAACTGAAACGCGTTCAACAAAAGCTCAGGCTGAGCAACTCTTCCGTTCTTGCCTTATCTAATTGTGGCCTCAGTAGCATGGTTGTTCTACGAGTTCCCTACTCTAGCCAATACCTGTTGGCCTCTTGAATAATATTATTTCTAATCCCTGTGGTCCATTCGTGTAAAAATTCATCTCCTTCTCTTCTCCATGGTCTTGGTGTATGCATTGCCATTCCCTTCTTGATGGGATGCTCGTCTTAAAGAGCCTATCGAAGGTTTGTTTAGAGGCGGAGTAGTCGACTACCCAGAGTGTGAACTATGGAAGCGTGGCCGGAACGCTGATCATTCCATAGCATCATACGTTTTAGTTTGTACGCGCAAGCGGCGGCCACGTATTTTGCTACCAGATTTACGGCAGGTTAGCACTTCTAGCGCTTTGTTTGGGGTGGTCCTTAAAGCACGCGAGATGCATAAAAACGCTGTTCTTTGGACCTTACTCAGTATATTTAGGTAACTTGCCTTTTGAGTTGATGGCCACCATCTAGGATTCCATATAGTAGTATTGGCCTGATCACAGAAGTGTACAGCCGGTAGGTAATACGAGGTGTCAACCCCCATTTTATTTCGATCTTTCCTCTATCTTAGGTGTCCACGTAAGTTTCCTGTTTAATATGAGTCGTAAATACTTAAAATTCTCTTTTAAAGGCATCCTCACATCTTTAAAAATTAGACTGTAAGAAGCCTTTCCTTATTAAGAGAATTTCTTCGGTTTTGTCCGAGTTTTTTCTTTCGAGTCCCTTACCCTCGGTCCAATTTTTAAGCGTTTTCATGTTAGAAGACAGAATATCCATCGATGTTATTTATTGGCAATTTCCAGGTCGTAGGCTGATATCCTCTCTCTAGGGCCAGCAACAAGGAGCTTTCTGCCAAAATCCAGAGCAAATGGGACAGAATCGCTCCCAGGTTGTGGCTCTACACACCTGTCTGCTTATTGTGGTGTTGCCAAGTCCAGCAGTTATCTTTCTGCTGACGGGTATATTCTCAATCAGTGCCGCAACGTTATGGTCAATTCCAACTTATGTTTATTTATATATTTTTAGTAATTTTTATTCAATATATTATTTAATTTGTAACAGAAACCACATAAATAAAAGTTTCAGAGTTTGCGAAAATGTCTCAAAAATTTATCAAACTTCGAAAATTGATTATAAAAATTTCAAACTCTTTTATCAGAATTTCCACAAAGCTTATTTACATAATTTTATTCTGATAAAGTGCAAGTTTTAAGTAGCCAAATTGATGCTAATTTTTGAGAATGTTTTTTCGTTGAGCGTGATTTTTCATGCGTTTGTCATAAATTTTTTTTGTTTGTGTACACAGTACATACATACATATGTACTCAAAATACGTATTCTCTATCCTGGCATATTTCTAAACAGGGATGTCACCTAATTTTTAATGCAACATATTTAGTTATTTCATTAGATTAAAAAAAAGTTTATATTTATTTCCAAAATATTCTCTTTACAGAATTCTCGGCATAACCGACATATACTTCTGCAAAGCCATTTTCGAAGGAAGCTTTTCAATTTTATTTGCCCTTCAAATACATGTTTTTGAAAAAAAACTGTGTCTAAAGTGCTGATAAATTTTAAAATTAACTTGAAACAGCGGTCCTTAGTGTGGAAGGATGTTTTGGTTTATGTATATCTATAGGCCTATACAATATCGAAATATTAAATAATAATTATTTGTAAATAAAAGCCGTCTAAATAACCATTATTTAAAATCCAAGCCTTAATTTTTTATTTAATTTTTGATAACTTGAAATCCACTCCGAGTCACCTGGTTCTATACCATCTATAGATTACCATATTTTTTATTATTACATATTTTTACTCACTTGTATTCGACAGCCTTTCACGCCACGCTATTGGATTCGCCACCAATCCCTGCAATCCCGGCCAGTACAAATGCGTTCGTTCCACAATGTGGCCAGCATGCGTTTTTAGCGGAGTACCTTGACTTTGTGACAAGTACTGGGCCATTCCAGCAGCGGCGGCGGCAATGGAGAAACGCGGTATGCCACCTGAAAGAGATATGTTAGTTGTTAGTTATTGATCATCAAAAGTTTAAGACGAAAAGAGTCTGCAAAACTGAGAAACGAAATATTACATACATAGATTAGCAACATTAGGCGTGAAATTTTTAATCAACCATAACTTCGCACCAATAAGTCACATGAACTTAAAATTTGGTATGCAGGCATATCTACAGTAGGCGCTTAAAGTAAGGCATAATATATAAATGAGTTAGCATAAGGAGGCGTGGCACTTCCCATAGGCGTGGAAAATTGTATCAGCTATAACTTCTGAACCATTAGTCACATGAACTTGAAATTTGGAGTACATATATGTATATATATGGTAGTTGCTTATAGTACGCTTTATATAATTGAGTTTGTAAAAAGGGGCATGACACATCCCATAGGCGTGGAATTTCGGAACCACAGGTCACATGAACTTGAAATTTGGTGTGAAGGTCTATGATAAATGCTTATATTAAGGTATATATAAACGAGTGGAATTTTTAATCACCCATAAATTGGGAACCATAGTCATATGAACTTGAAATTTCCGAAATAATCATTCTACCAGAAAAGTGCAGCTATACGAAAACATCTAAGCGAATAGGCAACTAAACGGAATGTACCGTAGTAGACTAATTTTCATTTAAAAATTCTATCGTTGCCTTAATCCACCTACTATTAATAATGAAATAAGATTTCTAGTACGAAAAATAATGACAACTATATAGTAGATGATGCACGATAAGGTTTTAAGTATGGTTCATAAGGATGCGTTAATTTAAACAAAAAAAAAAAATAGTTTGTCTCCTTTAATTTATGCTGAACTGAATATTCGTACTACTGTTTCAAATTTTCATTTGTTTACGCCGAACGACGTCGGGTGCTCTGCTGGTTTCCTATAAAAAGGTACTTTCAAATCGAGCGAATTTCGCAGAATATAACTCCACATTATTGATTGTCTTAAACTTTAGGGGTTTCAGAAAACGTGTTAAGCATCGCACAGTGTATGATTTTGGAATTTGGTAGGATTTAATTAAATTTTAGCCGTAGTTGTTTTTCCTAAATTATATTTGACCTTAGAACGTATAAGTCTTTGAAAAAAAACTATACCTTTTTATGGGTTTTCAAAAGCGTCTCTTGGTTATGGTGAAAGCCGAATAGAATGCGTCTGCGAATGGGAGCAAACGAGTCGCCTGTGAAAGTATTTTATTCGGTGAAAACATATGACGGCGGAGGAGGGAGGTACCCTATGGGGAAGCCTGGTAGAGGGAGGAACAAGAAATGACTGCCTCGGTTCATGAACTATTTCGGATAAATCCATTAAAAAGCTTCGAAACCGCTTTTTTCATAAAAACAAATAACGGTTTTTAAGAATCTATTCAAAGTAAAGAAAAGCCCACTCACTTTTTAGTTGAAACAAAAGGACAAATTTGCGCATCTAGGTACAAAGTTGTAAAATTATTTTAATTGGCAGTCTGTCTGATTAATTTAATTGAGTAAAAAAAACCAATATTTAACTCAATGAAGGTAAAACACAAAAGTCAACATTTGACTAGCCAGTAAATTTTGTTGTTTATAATCAAATTAAAGGCGAGGCAAATGCAGAAACGGGTTATAAAATGTGTACATATGTATGTGTACACAAATTCACATATTTATTTTTAAACAAGTTCAGCACGTTAATTCAAGTACATACATTCATAATTATCGATGTAAATATGTAACGAATATTTAGTGTACGAGTATTAAAACGAAAATGGGGTACCAATATACAACACCGTCTAAATTTATAATTACATGTGTGCGAATCAATGTATTTGCTTTGGTTTGTGTCTCTGTAAAATGGTTACACCCTGATGTAATCGATTTGATTTACTTTGTTTCGATTTGTTGTCATTTATTTAATTAGTTATGAGTTATAATCAAAATAAAATTGAAAATTGTCAACGCTTTGTCATTGTAGCCATCCGTCAGACATACACACAGGCAAAGAGGCAACAAAGACAACACTAACGTATGTACATACATAGGTAGATCCCCCTTCGACCTCGCATGCCTTATGTCACTTAATAACTACACTTCATTACGCTACAATTATTTTCTAGTAAATGTAATGAACGAATGCTGGTCATTTTGAAACTAGACAACAATACATACTTATTAGATAATAAGCGAAGACAAAATTTAATGACTTATTTGTAGTTGTTGCGAAGATAAAATAGTATAAAAAATGTAAGCCAGTTGTACAAATGAACGTAATTGAACGTTTAAAATTATTGGTCATTTTGATTTTTTGTTAATGTTTTTCGTTGTTTTTGTAATTACTTAAGAAGCCCCAACCAACCAGACTCAAATTAGAAAACTTATAGGTACCATAGACGGTGCGTCTGACTCGCGAGTCATCTGTGTACGTGTTGGCTCGCCTTTCGACTACACACATTGGAGTTGTATACAAATTTTGAAAAAATAGGGTTGCCAGATATTTGAAAATTTAAAATAATTTAAAGCCTCAATAAAGAAATTAGGTTTCTTCATCAAAACAAAAAGTGTTTGAAGAGACTTCAAAACATTTTTGTTTTTGTTACTATTTTTCTAAAAAATACAACAACTGTTATTAAAAATGTAAGCCTACTTAATACCAAAATATGGGTATCAAATGGAAGGTTTATGCACCCCCAGTGCAAAACTCAGAAAACTCTACATGTTCATTTCTAATTTAAACTCGACTTTCAAAACAGTTGGCAACCCTCTTTGGAATATTTTCCAATTAAAACCATATTAATTCAAAGAGAATTTTATTTTTCAAACAGGTGACAACCCTCTTACATGTAGTTTAGAACTAAAACCCTTATCAAAAACCTTTCGATTGATACCCATATTGTAATAATTCAGTAATATTTTAAATGTTCATTCTGAAGGTTTATTAGCAATCTTTCATTTGAAAGCCATATATTAGTATTTCAGATAGCTTGCTAATTATTAATTTAAAATTTGGCTTTTCGAACAGGTGGCAACACTTTCCAAAGTACTTTAAAATTGCAACTGTTTGAAGCCTCTTGTCATCCATTCTTTAATATAATTTTCAAATAAATTATTCCCTTAATTCAAGTCGAATTTAATTTTTTAAACAGGTTACAGGCCTCCTCCATGAGTATGGAATTTATTTTATATACATACAAGCAGAGTACCCGACGTCGTTCCGGGTAAAATATAGAACAGTAGTACAAACATTCAGTTCAGCATAAATTACAGGAGACAAATTATTTTCTTTCTTTTTAAATTAACGTATCCTTATGAACCAAACTTTTAGCTTTATCTTGCTTCAACTATTATATATTTGTCATAATTTGTACAGCACCCGCCTGGGTATTGGACCAAACTAACTTTTTTTAAGAGACTGAGTCATAAGTAAAAAAAACAATATCTCCGTTTTTGAAGTTCCTGAACTTTGACCCCTTATAGCACCTGTAATATAAGTTTGCACAAAAAAAGTTATATACCATTAGATAAGAGCAAAAGGGGGACGACGTCTATAGTTTTCAGTTTTAAGTTATATACATGCTATAATAAAATATAATTTTTTACCAAAGGTCCTATTTCGAACTTCGAAGGCCCATATCTTAACTGGATATGTATTCATACCAAAGTTCATCATATTTAACGCCTGTGGAATGTGCCATGCCCCTTTCAAAAACTCATTTTTGTAAACCTTACTATAAGCACCTACCATAGATACGTCTGCGTACCAAATTTCAACTTCATGCGACTTATGGTTTTGAAGTTAAAGCTGCTAAAATTTCCACGCCTATGGGATGAGCCACGTCTCCTTATAAATTCATTTATATATATCATACTATAATCACCTACCATAGTATGAGTGCATCCCAAATTTCAAGTTCATGAGACTTATGGCTCCGGAGTTATAGCTGATAAAAATATCCACGCCTAAGGGATGAGCCATGCCCTCATTCGCAAACTCATTTATATATACCTTACTATAAGCACCTACCATAGGTATGTCTGAATACCAAATTTCAAGTTCATGTGACTTATGGTTCCGATGTTATAGCTGATAAAAATTTCACGCATACGGGAGTTGCCACGCCCCCTTGTCGAATCCCAATTTTTTCTTCCTGTTATAAGCCTAGGTGTCATGGCAATACTCTGCCAAAATTTCATATGATTCTGCCCATCCGTTTAGGCTGCAACCTGGCACATAAATATTAGAGGGCTGCATGAATTCTTTCAAACTTCTAGCCAAACAGAGTACAGTAGATTTGAATATTTTACTTCACATACAAAACACTCAGCGTTTGGAATTTTGTATGTTATGAATATACCTTTTGTTAAAAATTTTCTACCTTCAAATGGAAGAATGTGAATGAATGAATAGAAAACATTGAAATCATTCAAACTCATTTCGGTAAAAGTTTTTTTCTACAAACAAATTTTTCCGTATGTAATAGGAGCGCAGCAATACATACATACATACATATGTATGTTTGTACATATGTGCATAGAAAAAATATTTTTGGATATGCATACAAAAAATTGTCATTTATTTCAATTCAATTTATTTTCACTTTGTTTGAATATTGTAATGTCGACACAATTATCAGAACAGCTATTCACTCAAATTCAAAAAAATTTGAAGCCAAAATCATTCATTCGTTTTGTATATGAATAATTCAAAAGCCGTTTTGAATGCATTCATGCAGCCCTCTAATACATATGTATATACATACATACTTCTACAAATATATACTAGATATCTATCATTATCCCAGTGTATCAGAATTTTAGGAATATCTCGTCCACAATGCCACCTATCGTGTACATTTTTAGTCTCAATATTTATTTTCAATTGGCTAAATTGTATTCTAAATATGAGCCAAATCAGCAAGTAAATGCAATTGTTATGAATATCCCGACCCCAGCGCCATCTAGCGATTAAATTTTTATGCGAAATGTATCCCTTCAAGGTGTTGAAATATGTTCCA